AATGCAAAATAAGTTGAAAATGAATATACAGTGAATTGAGAGGGAAAGACATTTTAAAGGACTTATGTTTAGATAATATAAGAATACAAATACATGTAATGCGAGAAAAGTCAATATATTTCAAAACGTTTGAATTAGAAGATAAAGTCAAACAAATATTTATTCATTTTATTGTATTTTAAAACGAAAAATCCAATCAAAATTTAATGGCAAAGTCATCGATACATAAAATTTAATGCAAATACTGAATCAATATTTGAGATAAAGTAATTAAAAAATGCCAAAATTAAACTAAATTATCAAACAAAGTGCAAAACTTTGAGGAAATCCCTATTATTCTATACAAATAGGTCTCAAAATAGTCACTAATAGAGCATTTTAATGACAAACTATGCTTTATATTCTGTGTGCATCAAATCAAAATGTTAGTATGTTTAGTGACTTTTTATACAATAATCCATGATTACTAATATAAAATAATAAAAATTTTAATGAAATATTTAATATAATTAAATGTTATTAAATTAATTTTTAAATAATATATTTTTGCTTTATTATATAAATATAGAAATTTCTATGAATTAATTAATTATAATTATATAAATTAATTATAAATATTTTATTGATTTATCATTTAATGTGCAATACATTACTCAACTATTATTTGATTTTCAATTAATAATATAATATTATTTCCAATATATGGTTATAAATTTTTTTTACAATAGACTGCATTTATCAAGAAAATGACATTTGATTAAAATTCTTTTAAAACCAAATATATCGTGTATTTTTGTTGGATTTATATATCTATTCTTGTAATCCAATGTTAGATGCCATCAATTTCACAGTGATTTCACGCTTTCAAATAGAAATGTTTGCGAAATATATATATCTCTAAAAAAATATTCCGACAAAACATAAGATGAAGAAAAAGAAAGAGATTTAAGAGAAGAACGAAGAATAACCAGATTTTATCATCAATTGTATGTCCAGAACAGTGATAGATATAACACAAGACATGCCTTATATTTACTTTATTTTCTGGTTTGGTCTTTGAATTTTTGAATAGATTTTAAACTTTTGAGAAAAGGGAGAGAGAGAAAGAGAGAAATCTATAGACCTAAGAGGAATCGTAAATGATATGAAGCGAACACAAAGTTTTTTAAACTTCTTGTCTCATATAATTTGTTTGAGAAACTGTGAGCACAAACAACAACAACAACACAAAAAGTCACGTCAAAATTGCATGTGTTTTTTTCGGTATCAAATCTTTACACACATTTTGCACACAAAATATCTATAATACTGTATTATATAACCATAAATTTGATGCATTGCAGCGCAAAACACAATCCAGTAAGAAAAAAAGTCATGTTTATTTATTTGTGCATAAAGTTTTTTACGTGGTAGAAAATTCAGTTATTGTAGAGACAGTATAACAGTATGTTATGTGTGTTATAATACCATATTCTACTAATGCATTGGCAATGCATACACTTTCATACGCTTTCTATGAGTGCTTTTATGCGATGGTGTAGTGAAAGATTGCATATACTGTACGGCAGGACTGGTATATTGTGTTGATTTGAACTGCATTACAATCACAACATATCAATTGCATACTCACTGAATATACATTGAATATACTGTACGTATATTTTGAGTCTTTGAGAAATTCTTCGGGGAATACATACAGAGAAAGTCATTTCGCATGAATGGCTCGCATATAATTTGCATACAGTTTTGCTATGCATTCACATTAAATTCCTAAACTCCAGGTCTGTCTGCGAGGGGTATAAATTTAAATAACGGGCTGACGGGGGGTTTGGTGTGTCTCACAATTTTTCGACTATAAAGCGGCAGTGAATTAAATCGGGGACAATTGAGAGGCGATATTAATAAACTTAAAACATATTTATAGCGAATATATAAGGAGAAAACGGAGAGAAGATTCAATTGACATCAAAACTGATTTATTGATATACAAACTTATGATATGATGGTATGTAAAATGCACTTTAAATTTCTAGATCATGTGATCGTTTGTATTGATGGCGTGACATCTATTTATGAATACCTGTGCTGTGAATGTCCATTGAAATGACACCGAAATGATTGTCACACAAGAGTGTAATCTAAGCGCCAAAAGAAGAATTCAAACATTGAAATTTAAAACAAATATAAAAAGTCTATTAACTTCTGGGAATAAAAATAAAGATTTTGGTCATTAATGTATGGAAACAACAAATAAATTGATATAATTTGCAAACACTGACGAGAATATCATGTTTCGTATAGAAATATGAATACATTATTAAAACAAATTAATACTCATTTGTATGTGACAATAATCAGAATAACTAAAGCATTGATTCGAAGGTAAATACCTTTTTGTCCCGAAATCGGAGAACCTCCTGAAAGTTTGGGGGCACACGATATACCTCTTTAGGGGTATTTTGAGGGCATTTTATTTCACCTTTTTAGCACCTTTTGAGACGTTCTCACCTTTAGTAACTATTTCAATGTTTTGCTAATTTTGTACGGTATTAACGGATATTTTACAAAATAGTTGATGAATAAATATATTCAGTATTGAAAATTTTCAATTACATAAACAATGAAAGAGTTTAACAATTATTTGAAAAATTTTATATTTCATATACGTTCCCAAAGCTAAACTTTACATTGAATTAATATACCTTTTTAATAAATTACGTAACTAAAATTATCAATCAAAAGTTCAAAGCCGAATAACTTCAAAATTATTATAGATACAGTGTTCTAAGCTTCATATTCAAACTCAACGTTAAATTTTATATAAGAATCATTAGATCAATTATTTCTATAATTTTTATGTAAAAAAATAATTTTTTCATAACTTTTTCGTAACTTTTTACCACCTTTTTATCACCTTTTCAGCCACTTTTAAGTAACTTTTTAAGTACCTAAAACACTTTTTTTGTCACCTAAGAATCAATGCTTTAATAATAACATTGACCGTAAAATATCGAATATAATTGCGTACAACTGTAGCAAAAATTAGCATATTGAGCATCTAGGTATAACAGTTAGTTGCAGTGATTTTTACAAGTATTTAGAATTGAATTTTACTTATTCTCGCTGTAAAATACTTTTACTAAAAAAGTCAATTATATTTAATGTGTTTAATTATTAACAATTAAGATATAAATCCAACGAAATATTCCTAAATTCACTATTTTAATAATTAATCAATAAATTGCGGCCAATTATATCATAATTTATATGTGATTCTTACACAAGGGGTGCAATTATATGCCGGTATAATTGCGGCACTTTTTATAAATCTGTGTATGTATTAAATTCACTTATAATTGCATGCAATTATATTCGTCTTTTACGGTAATAATAATTATATAAACAAAATAAATACAATAATTATTAAACTCTTAAATCAATTATCATTTAAAGTCTCATTTCCTGAAGGCTTTTGTTAATGCATTAAAATACAAATTGCTATCAATTGAATGTATGCTCTCTTTCCGCAAAATAAACTCAAACAAAATGTTATATTAAATAAAACTTATAGAAAATATATTACTAATAAATTGTAACATATAGTATTAACTAGATTAAATTTTGATCTTGTAACAATTAATAATGATTGAATAAAAATCATCTTGTATGTTTAATCACAGTGATTCTGGTTTGGTATAAGTACAAAAGATATAAACAAAAAATAAGTAAATTATAATAACTATATATAATAAAAATATAGGTAAAAGTCTAATTAAATTTTCAATTAAATATTCAAATGAATATAAAAATGAGTTATAAAAAAGTTTTCACAAAAGATATAAACAAAAAATAAGTAAATTATAATAACTATATATAATAAAAATATAGGTAAAAGTCTAATTAAATTTTCAATTAAATATTCAAATGAATATAAAAATGAGTTATAAAAAAGTTTTCCAAACAATTTTGAAGCAATAAAAATGTGAATTGAATTTCAATTTCGGATACAATACTGACATCTCTTGTATGCGATTGTGATTTGCATTTCTATTACGAAATGTTTTGCTTTTATTTTTTGTTTATTTAAAACTCATTTCGCATTGAATTTGAAATCACATCAAATCTGATCACATGTTTAGTCATTGATTTGTTAATCAATTGATCCCATCATTGATTTCAACCCATTTTGCGGTCATAATTATGCGCTCATTATCTCAACGATTGGGTATTTATTTGTGTTAAGAAAACACATTATTATTACTATTAATAGTATTGTTATTGAGTTTGAAATTAGTTTTGAAATGCAATTTAATTGTCAAACAAATCAATTGTTTTGCTTTTCAAACACTTATAGCCATTGAATGACAATTAGATGATTGACTGGACGTATAATTGGTTGATATCTTCATAACATCAGTGGTTAACTGGCCGTACATTTGATCCGAAAGACACGTCAAGACATTTGGTGACAATCGCGTGAAGTTATGGTCTGTTTGTGGCAATCAATCCATTGTCTGATCCATTGATAGTATACTAACACTTCATTCACGTCTTGTCCAACAGTTTTGTGATTATTATTTTGTTTTAATGTTTTGTGATTTGAGAGTCAATTGTTTGATAAGAAACAGCTTTTGAAGTCATTATCACTTGAATTCAGTTTAATTTACTTCAAAACCTAATGATAACGTGTATAACACATAGGCTTTAGATAACGTATAACTTTATTATTTATATAATTAATCATTTATTATAGGAATTACAAAAAGTAATAAAAATAACTAAATTGTCGTCAATTAGTTGTTTATCAAACGATTAGTTTTATTATCACTAATACTGTATTTGATTTGAATTCAAGTGCTTTGAAGTGACACTCAATCTCTTGTATTATAACTTATAATTTATAAGTGAAATTGAAAATCAATTAAACTGTTTCTTTGTTTCTCATATTAAACAATACGTTTGCGAAGGAGTGGTCCATAAGATGCGAGAGAATGTGCCAAATGGTCAACATTTGCTGTTTAACACTCGTGTTTGTACTCAATATTGTTGCGGGCAGTTGTCTGGACCCGAGCCAGTCTTCCCATTGCTATTCCCATCAATACTCAAACCCATTGAGATTTTATGGCACAAAAACGACTTACACTGTGGCCAAAGCGACCCTCGATTCCAGTCAACCCATTGATCACAATTGGTATTCAATACCAAAATGCAAACCCATTATGTTTTACTTCATCGGCCGCCACGCCATCAGATATCCCGACGGCGACGACATCACCGAAATGTCGCGAGTGTTGGGCAAACTTCAGCAACAGATTGTCAACGCGTCGGCTCTGGGATTGACACAACTGTGCGAACAGGACTTACAGTCCATTCATAACTGGAAATTAAATATGAATGAAACGGACGACAACCGGATCAGTGATACGGGAATTGTTGAAACGCGAGCTATCGGTTAGCTCTGGGACTGACACAACTGTGCGAACAGGACTTACAGTCCATTCATAACTGGAAATTAAATATGAATGAAACGGACGACAACCGGATCAGTGATACGGGAATTGTTGAAACGCGAGCTATCGGTTCGTCAGCCGTGAGACTCGTATAATATGTTTATTTACTCTCCTTTTGATATAATTATAGCCAAAGACTTTAAACTAAGATATCCAACACTTTTGGACCCAACGAAGACAATGATCGATATCGGAGTCACCACTAAAGTGAGAACATTGCAAACGGCCGACGCTTTTCTACAAGAAATCACTTCCGATTCCAAACCCATTGAACAGACATCAGAAGAGGACTACAGTGAGAGTGCGAGCGATAGTGCGAGCGGTGAATCTGCTGGTAATCACATTTAGATATTTGATTAATTTGTTAATAATTATTATGAATATCTATTTACAGACATATTGAGTGAAGTAACAAAATCCGAAAAGGATTTACTGTATTTTCACGACACGTGCGAAGACCTACTGTTAGAACAGGGCGTAAGACTTGAAAAGCCGAAACGTGTGAAAGATTTGCGTAAAAGTACTTCAATGCAAGCGATTATCAAACGAGTTAACGACAGGCTTGGCTTCGGTGCGGGCAATGAGATCGATGCTAAAGTGCTCCGGCATATAGTGAGGGCCTGTTATTTTGAATTCGCTATTTTCGGCCAAAACAGCGGCTGGTGTTCACTACTCGGTAACGACGAGATCAAGATTCTGGAATATTTAGACGATATCGAAGACTATTACGAAGACGCTTACGGTTTGTCTCAATGTTTACCGCTTTTACCACAAATTGTTACCAATTATTATATTAACTGTTATCTAATATATGAAATTGTTTTGCCGTAAAAACAGGTCGTAATATAAATAGCAAACAAACGTGTCCTTTGATTGGAGATCTGTTCGCAAAAGTGAAACAATCAGTGAAGTCGTCGAAAGATACGAAAACGTATCTGCAGTTCACACACGCGGGTGTTATGAAACGCCTGTACTCTGGTTTGGGTCTCTTTGATGTATTGCACGATAACATTGACTTTAAATCTGATGAAAGCGTTTGCTTGAATGACGGCCGCAATTGGAAGTCATCATTGATTTGTCCATTTAATGCCAATTTTGCGGCCGTTCTCTACAAATGCAAAGACGATAAGAAAAATGTCGATAAAAAGTATGGAAAATACAAATTATTGACTTTAGTTCAGGAGAAACCGGTGGTCATAAAGGGTTGCGACTCATACCTGTGTTCTGTTGATAAATTCATTGAATCGTATCAACAAATGTCATCCAATTGTGATCTTAAAGAGATTTGCAAAATATAAATATTATTTTTTGTCAATAATGGTTTTTATTTGGCATCTGTTTTATAATTTATGAAATTATTTTAAATTTTTAACGACAATTGTATTGCTTTTGAAAAACATTTTATATAAAAAACATTTATGTGTATAAATTTACAGTACATTAATATATGAAATCAAAGTTTTAATAAATTTTAAATGATTTGTTGATAACAATTTAATATAAATTTTATGTTAAGTAAGTTATTATATAGTACAGTATTTATGCAAATACCGTAATACCTGACTTAGAAAACCATGCAATACTAAGTCAATTTTAGTAAAATCATGTTTTTCAAAATCATATGCAATCTTATCTAGGTAGTATTGCACCCCTTCACTAAAAATGACATATCATTGCATGCAATAGTATATGAAATTCAATACAGATTATAAATTCAAAGTATTTATTATTAGTATTACATTTGATTAACAATTAATTAATATTCAATTCAGAGAAATCTTCTGCAAAATCTATTACTTCTTCGCATGTCTACACTCATATCAATGTTTATAA